GACGTAACAATATATATATACACACACACACACATATATATATATATATAAATGTGTAAGAAGCAATGGAACCAGTAGGACCTAAAATATTCAATAAAAATCACATAAACTACTAGTTTTTCCCTTACGTTTTTCTTTATTGGTCCTTTACGGATTCCAAATTATTGCCGTGTAAAGTAGTATTTTAAATGTATTTTTTGTCAGTGCCCAAGAAACCTTTCATTCAATACTAGACTTCGTACAGAACCGATAAGAAACAAGGAAGTGGTCAGAAGTAAAAACATTTGTGTTTTATAGCGAGGCTACATCGGGCTATCTGCTGTGTCCACCGAGGGAAATCGAACCCCCAACTTAAATCCGTATACTTACCGCTGTCCCAATCGGGAACGTAAAAAAGAAAGTGTGATTCAAATAACGGACTGGTTTGAAATATAGATTTTGTTTGTTTGCAGCAAAGCTCAAAGCTACACACTGTGCTATCTGTGTTCTACCCACCACGGGTATCGAAACTCAGTTTTTAGCGTTGTAATTCCGCAGACATACCGCTGTGCCACTGTGGGGAGGGGGAGGCTAGAAATATAGAACTGATAAGAAATGAAGGACTGATTAGAAACTTGTAACTAAGTATAAATCTAGGAATAATTAGAATGAAAATAGGAAGGTGATTAGAATTAAATAAATATTTTAAAATACGGAATTGATTAAAAATACAGATCTTAGTCAGAAATAAGGAACTTGTCAGATGTAAAACTGATTGAAAATAAGAAACTGATTAAAGATGGGGAACTGATTAGAAATCAGGGATTGATTAGAAATAAAGAAAAATATGAAGCTGAATATATATATATATATATATACATAACTGATTCAAAGTAAGAAATGATTAAACATAAAGACTGATTAAATATAGGGAACTGATTAGAAGCAAAAAACAAGTTAAAAATAAGGAACTGATTAGAAATCAGGGATTGATTAGAAATAAAGAAAATATGAAGCTGAATATATATATATATATACATAACTGATTCAAAGTAAGAAATGATTAAACATAAAAGACTGATTAAATATAGGGAACTGATTAGAAGCAAAAAACAAGTTAAAAATAAGGAACTGATTAGAAATAAAGAAAAATATGAAGCTGAATATAACTAGTAGTAATCTACTAGTTATATAGTAGATTTTTCCAAGCCCGTTCCCTTGGCTGTGGTTTCGCTAGATAGTAGATAGGGACAGTGGGAATCTCGTTAATCCATTCATCTTACTAAACATAAAAGACTGATTAAATATAGGGAACTGATTAGAAGCAAAAAACAAGTTAAAAATAAGGAACTGATTAGAAATGAACGACAGGTTAAAATGGGTTTGGTTTGGTTTGAAACACGAGGGCTATCTGCGCTAGCTGTCCCTGACTTAGCAGTGAAAGACTAGAGGGAAGGCATCAACTCCCACCGCCAATTCTTGGGCTACTCTTTTACTAACGAATAGTGGGATTGACCGTCACATAATACCGCCCCCACGGCTGAAAGAGTCGTCTTCAAATTATGGAGCTGTTTAAAAATAGAAAACCGACTGCACAACCAAACAAAAAAAAAAAGAGGCAAAGTAACTTATGTTCTTTGGTTTTATTCGTGAAACAGACGAAAATTGTGGTGGCTGAAAAAAGTCATAGAAGTATCACGTTACTTTTATCAATTTTCAAGTACTTTTTCCTGACACCAAAAAAAAACAAAAACAAAAACGCAATATGTTATGTTAACCCGAAAAAACAAACTAGATGCGAAATTTTAACATAGGGTTAACGCAAAAATGTGAGAAAAAATCAACACATCGATTTCCATGTGCTCCAACTAGGCGTCTGTTAAAAGCACATCGTCAATTGCGCATGCGTGACTTGCTAAGCTTTGCGTGGTCAGTGCTTCTGGTTCGACAAGCGAATTATGATCACTAATCATCCACATAACCCGATACATATCCTCTCAACGTGATCACTAATCATCCACATAACCCGATATATATCCTCTCAACGGAAAATGTTCGAAATTCGTCACGACTCGCTCTGAATAACAAAAGAGCACGTCAAAGGTAACCGACCTTCTTTCTAAAAGAATATTACTTTCAATAAAAAGCTAGATAACGTCGCGATTAAAGAAGATGATTTTCAATTCGAGGATAAAATGTCCTTAATAAATCGATATCTGGTCGTCTATGACGAGGAAAGTTGCCCTTTCGTCAATGAAACTTCGGAAGAGATCACTGTGTGTGTGTGAATAACAACGAAACAGAGATGTCAAAGTCCGTGATTTCCAGATAGACACAGAGCTCCGCACGAGCAAAATTTGATAATGGACGTTTGCAATGTGTAAATTGATACGTAACTTAATTATCGCCGGTCCTTTCTTTTATTTGAAACTTTACGGGTACAGAGTGTTTTCACTACATACAATTGAAATTATATTTTATACTGATGCACATTAGGCCTTGTCATCCAAACAATAATATTCTATATTATGTCATGCCGTCCAGTAGGTAACATTCTTTCTAGAGCATGTCATGCCGTCCAACAAATAATGTTCTTTCTACATTATCTCATGCCGTCCAATAAATAATGTTCTTTCTATAATATATCATGCTGTCCAATAAATAATGTTCTTTCTATAATATGTCATGCCGTCCAACAAATAGTGTTCTTTCTACATTATCTCATGCCGTCCAATAAATAATGTTCTTTCTATAATATATCATGCTGTCCAATAAATAATGTTCTTTCTATAATATGTCATGCTGTCCAATAAATAATGTTCTTTCTATAATATGTCATGCCGTCCAACAAATAATGTTTTATAATATGTCATGCCGTCCAACAAATAATGTTCTAAAATATGTCATAGTTGAATTGTGAGCGATAACAGGAAAAGTGTTCTACATCAAAACAAACTCATTCTTTTTTGCATTTTAAATATTACTGTGGTTTTTCAGAACTCATAGTTATATGTGGTTTTAGTGAATGACACAGCTTGAGTTTATTATTATTATTGCGTTTATTAGTACGTGTGTCATTTAGTGACTAGTTAAATTGTCAACAGCAAGAAATTGCAACTTAATTTTCAACACTTTGGACACAAAATCAGATCTACGATCAACACTCGTGTGGTGCTGTTCCATATTGAATACCAAAGGCTTATTTGCAAAATTGTATGCATGTTTTAACTGTATTACTATAATCTGAAAACGTTTAATATTACTCACATCAGGTAAAGAAATGAATTAAAACACTAGAAACCAGGTTTCGATACCCGTGGTGGGCAGAGCACAGATAACCCATTGAGTAGCTTTGTGCTTAACTTCAGACAAACAAATAAAAATAAATCAAGCCACGACCATTTGAAAACAGTAACTTAGAAGAATCCAATTTCAACTAAACGGATGATAGGGAATGTCACCCGATGGAAATTGATATTGTTTTAGGTGTAAAAACAGGCTTAGTGTGATATTGTTTTAAATGTAAAAACAGACACGGTGTAATATTATTTTAAGTGTAAAAACAAGCTTGATGTAATACTGTTTCAGGTGTACAAACAGGCTTGGTATAATATTGTTTTCGGTGTAAAAACAGGCTTGATGTGTAAATAGTAAACTTAAACAATAAAATGGGTTTCTATTCGAAATATCAGTGGAAAGTTTTAGGCTCCACAATGTTCGTTATCGAAGTAAGAGCCAATCATGCGAACTGATAAAATCAAACACGCTTCGTTAAATGTAACCATGACCACGTCCGTTCTGCAGTTGTTTTATTGATCATATATCCATTTAGCTGGGCATGGTTTTGTAATACTGGTAAGTATGTATAGCGT